TGGCTTCCATTTTTACGATTGTAAAAATGATCTGGCGTAATGGGGAGATAATTTTGACAAGGTAGAATCCTGACTGGGTGGCATAGGGTAATTTTCGTTTCCATAAGATTACTATAACATTTTTATTCAATTTGTTCAAAGATGGAGAATTTAAAACTTTTTAAGCAAATACTTTTAACATTTCAATTTTAGAAGGTGGACTACTTTTTTCCTAAACATTTGTCATTATGGATTTTGATATGGACATGATGGACAGAGAGAGAATTTTCAAAGGATTTGATTGAACTTTGATTTCACAATTTTTCCAGGAACTGGCTTTCAAAAATGAACTTTTCAACAATAAGAGACTCATCTTTTATTCATTATTACAATCAAAGTTCATTCTTCAAAGTGAAAAAAATCGTTTCCTGTTTTCAAGTATACAAATACCTTATACTCTTAAATCTACACTATAAGTCAATGTCTGAACAACATAAACTTTTTGTATGAGTCTTAGAAACTGGGAAATTGCTACAATTACAGTTTTAAAAAGTAAACACAAAAATATTTACCATCCCAAAAACCCAGTCCCAGATTGTGGAGAAAAGTGATGTGACATGAAATTGACATTGCACCAAAATATCACTTTACTACTATATTTGGTATATAAACATTAGAGTTACATAATAATTTTACAGCAAAGAAGACCCCATGGCCATTTGCATTTTTTTTTATTTGTTAACATTTTATTTTCAAAAAATTTAATCTATTATATCTATATTTTATAACATTCTTTTCCCTAATTACTTTAAATTTCATTTGACTTAACAATGTATACCTCAACAGGGGTTAAAAAATCCACTAGCCCGACGCCCGGGACTAGACTTTTACACTTCGGGCAATTAAAACTTGTAACCGAATATGCCCGACGGACTAGTAACAAACAGTTCTTGGCATTTCCAAAATAGTAAGTGGAAAATCCCCTCATCACTATTCTATCTTAGCCAATCAGATTCAATTACGTAACGTCATCCGGGATTCCAAGAATTTGAACCGATTTTGTACATGTTTTAAAAATAGAACAACTAACTCTGGGTGGACAGGTATCATGTATTGATCGCAATTCACGTACTTTCAATATCAATTTCTCAGTACAGGGGGTATTGTACATTGCTTATGCCGAGATTTTCAATTAATGGTACTTGGGTGTATGATGTAATGATCGATATTGACCTGTCTTGTCGGACAGCTGTTAATTTGAGCTTGAAACCATGCACAAATTATTTCTAAACATTTTAGTACGGCCACCACAGGAACTAAATGTCAGTTTCAAAACGAAAAACGGTAGATGAAGGGGTAATGAGGCTGAAAATTTATCCCAAAAAATGCCAAATACGACCAGGAAAAGCGGAAAAAAACATTTATAGTGTCATGGACAGAAAGATTCCCCATGGGCAAGGTCGACTGTTACTGATGGTAAACAAGAGATGATGTTTTGTGAATATTGCCGTTATTTTCCTGATCACGCTGATAAAAAGTCTGCTTTGTATGTGGGAACAACAAATATACGAATTGAACCACTGGTTTCACATGACAAGATCAATAAACATGTTTTCTGTGTCTGAAAATATTTAACAACCCATAGTACAAGGGATATCCAAAAAGATGTCTAAAGATCCTTGTTATAATTAATAAAACAAAAATTTATTTGATTTATTTTATCAAATACCGTGTATAATGCCGCATTCAAAACAAAGGACACCCATTCTAAATTTGTAAGGTATGCTCGGGCTAGCAGGTCAGTTTTGATGGGCTAGCAGCTCTTTCAACAGGGCTAGTAAAATCCTGCTACCAATAAGTCCTGGGCTAGTGAGCTGTAACAAATTTTTTTAACCCCTGCTCAATCAAGTTCACTGTAGTACATACATCGTCCTGACATTCCTGAACAATACATGAAATATTTCTGACTGGACATTGAGCAACCATCAATCAATCAATCAATAGTATATACTTATTACTGATGCTATCAAATTTGTTGTCATATACAGATATATACAACTAAGAAATTGAAAAAGCCCTCGCTCCAACTAATATTTTAGTAAATTTATACACCAAATGTTCCTGAAAGCATTTATATCCAAAAATATCAAATGTAAATGTCCGATCTGTACATACTGTAGCCTACATTACTGGCAGGACATTTTTTTTCAAACAGCTTTCCATGTGTCACAGTATATTAATATTCCATTAAAGTACATTTGTTGTATTTATACATGTACGTATACACTACTCAGGCGATTAATTAAAATTTCGGTGTATTTATAGATGATCAAAAATTAAAAGATCTCATTGATTTGATTAATAGGCCATTACGATGACAAAGACAGCTTTTAATTAGTTCTGTAATTTTTATTAATACTGTAATACCTTGTATTGTATGAATTAATACATACTGCACATGTATTGTTTAAAAAAAACACAATAAAACTTTTCATTTACAGAAAAAATAAGTTGAGATTTCCTTTTAATGTCAGATGTCACTTGTAAAACTGTCAACAATTAAGCACAGGATATACGTGTACATGTATACCAATGTACCTTGATAAGTATGTTTCTGTTGAACATGAAGATACAGTTTCCGTTCACATCTGTCATATTACTTAATCTTCAGTTCACAGATATCATGTTAACATTTTAAAACCCATGTAAAATACTTTACCTCATGTGCAGGCCCTGTATGTTTTCTTAATTTACATACAAATGCATATACATGTACAGTAACACCTAACATAAAAAGGATTTTTTGGCACAATCATTTAAATCAATTTAAACTTATGCACAAAATGGGTAAATTGCTAAAGTAACTAGAACTGTAAGTAATTTCACAAAAGGATATCAGGATCCCATGCCCAAATGCTATTAGCACAATTTTAAGTATTTTGTAGTCAGTGAATTTGATTCTTTAATCTACAATTGTGTAAATGTTTATTAATATCAATCTAGCTGTTTAGAAGGAGTTGCGCTTACAGTGCACATGGGCAGACAGACGGACAGAGTGATTCCTACATGTAAATATACCCTCCAATACTTTGTTTGCTTGGTGTATAAAAAGTATATGTGTTTTACATGTGATTGTCACCTGAACTACCCAATTTTTAACACCCTACTCTTTTTCTTTTTTAACATTTTCCAATAAGATATAAGTCACAATGACTGAAGGTTAACGAAGATTATGTGTTGTCATGAGACACTGGCAGTATCACATTACCATGTTCAGTGAACTCATGGAATCTGGATCAAAACCCTTATTTGGCATTTATTTTTAATAGTTCACATTATAAAAGACAACATTCCCCATTTCCATTCTCAATTTTATCAATTATCAAAATTTAAAAGGTGCCCCTTATCCATGTTACATGTATCTTACCTAAACAATCAAAACAAAATTATATATGATTATAATGATTGATACATCAAACATGTGTACTACTTATAGTTTCTAGTTTATGTGACCACAAAACATTAAACCAAAACTTTAGCCTCATGCTGGCCATGACTGGGAGATCAGACAAACAGGCGCACAGACCATAAAACAATTCACCCACTACAATCATAACCACGGCCAAAAAATGTAAAAAAAAATCCCTTTGTAACAGATCATTATTTTTTCATCATGTGATAGCAAACACAAGTACAATATAAGAGAGAGGTAAAGGATACCAAAGGGACATTCAAACTCATGGTTGAAAATAAATGTACAACAACACTGGGGGGGGGGGGGGGGGGGGGGGGGGGGGGCTTAAATAAGTCCTGTACAATGATATAACTATACATCTAATTTTTTTTAGCTTCTTTTATTGATAACTTTTCAATCTACATTTGTAACTTTCAATAATTAGGCCATTACTTTTTATATGCACTTCCGATTTAACAAATGTTCCATGGGTACAAGCAACTTAAGGGACTTGCACTTTAATGATTGTATAAATTTACCAATTTCAACCTAACTTAAGAACTTAGCTACAAATGAAATCTTTGTCAAATTAATGATACAATGATTAAATCAAATAGTTTTAGAATACTTTAACAGTTTTATACAGTTTGCACTTGAATTGTTTTTGTGCTTAAATTTCTCTTATGTCATGTATGTGCATTGTGTCTGATGGATATATTTTGGGAATCAAGAGGGTTCTTTTTTCTCAGCCAATATAATGATCACAGTGATAATGAGTAAATATACATTTACATGTACACTGTAATGTTTATTGTTGTAATTATCAATTATGTCAATCAATTGTAACTGATTTAATGCCCTTTATGGGCCCTGTAATTTGGGAAATACAAATATTCTATATTCTATTCTATTCTATAATGTAAATTGACCGGAGCCTAAAATGCTTCTTATAAAATATTTGGAGGTTTCCACTTGAACTGCTGGTTTATTCTCACATTCATTATAATAATAAATAGAATTCAGAAGGAATTTTAAAATGTTTTTATTTATTTTAAGACTGCAGTACTAGTGCAAAAAGATAATTTGCAAATTTCAGTAATTATCAAAAATTTATTTTTTACAAATTATTATATGTTCACTACAAAAATGTTTGATTTGACTAACACACATCACATGTACAGACACCATAGCCTTTGAATACACAGAAAACTATTTTTAAAGATATCATTAATTCAATTGTGTAAGCCCTGGGACTAATACATTTAGCCACTTGTCCCAGGTAAGTCTACAGAAAAGCCAATTTATATATGTTGGACTAATGGGGAAAACAAGGATGGTTAATGGCTTAATAATTCTGTTTCTATTTCCGTAAACAACATGGAATTTGACACTTAACTTTAATATTTTTTGTTTAGAAATCTGCAATTATCATTAATCTGTTGGCTAATAAATAACAAATATTAACTTATTATGCAAGTCAACTTCAGTTGTACTTTTCTCAATATTTATAACACAGATATTTTCACCGTCATGGTCCAGTTGCACCCTTGTAAACAAACCAACTTACCGTGGCCGAACATATCTCTGTTTTGTCCAGATAAATTTTGTGAACTTCCCACCTTCTTAAATATCTGGAGTTCATGATCTTACTGACAATCGTTCGTGTGTGATTTAATCTACAAATTGGGATATCTCCTTCATTAATTAATTTATAACGCGGTCCCTGAATCGGTTTTGTGTTAACTGAATTCTGTGAAATCAAACTACTGAAACTCGTTCCGCTGTCATTTCTTTCAAAGATTCGTCTATTTTCGAGAGGTGTTATCTCACAATCCTCATCCTCCTGGTCATCATCATCGTCGTCCTCAACATTGTCTCTTTCCTCTTCATCGTCATTTGAAACGTTGTTTGTTGGCGCATCATCGGCTGTGCTATCCTCGCACACATCTGCAATCCCAATGGTCGCCATGTTCACTATTTCACCCTTTTCAACAATATTTTCCCCTGTTACTCCACTAAAGGCCACTAAAGGGTTACAATATCTGTAAATACAAGCCAGCTTGATCGTTTTTCGGTGTCACCCGTAATGAAGCTGTCGTTTTTCTTACATTATCCCCGAATATTTCTCCATTAATTGATGGAATACACAGCCATTGTGATTCTAATACACATCCAATATTGTCCTTATCACGTGACTAGTGACGTGAAACGGGACATTGTTTTCATATTTAGCATAATGTGTATTCATTGTATCCAAGTAAATTTCTCTTTAATCAAAAGTTAACATGTTGATCTTTGTGAATGATTTTGATTAACTTTAATTGTGTCATGATTACGAAGGCCGACGGTTAACCTACAAAAAAAGGAAAATTTTACAGTCAGTTTAAATATCATTGCAGTTGAATGTTCGCTACTTCGAAAGTGTTTCACCAAGGATTTGTATAGTCTTACAATACAAATCCTTGGTTTCGCCTATCGGAAATTCCCCTATTATTTCATATAAACACATAAATTTTACTGAAGATATTTTTCGTCCAAATTGAATAATTTTTTTTCAAGTAAATCAAATACAGAAATGTTGGCAGTTTTTTGCAATAATTAGCAAATGTAGTTTAACTTTTGATTTATATTTGTTTATTTCTGCAAAAAGAAATCATATGGCAATATAGGAATTAATCAAAGATCAAAACTGCTTTCATTTTATATACATGGCTCATGGGCGATCAACCAATTTTGCTTTCGTTTTAAATATGTCTCATGTGCGATCAAACCCTTTCTCGAACCATAATAGTATGTGTGAAATGTATAAATTCGGCTCCTTTTGTTTTTCAAGGATAAATATAATCAACAAAGATCTAGAACTTGGAATGATATGGCTACAGTTTTAATTTTTTGCGCAGACAAGATAAGGCAAGATGAACGTATAAACCGCCGAACCATTATTTTTGGCAAGCCTGTGCTTCACTGGTAGGCAATGAAAGCTACAATCCTCTACGTTAAATGCTAAATAGAGAGATCGTATGAAAAATGAGCCCCGATACGTAGCAAATATTCCCCCAAGAACTCTTTGGTTTCCATTGCAGCTTATTAATTATAAAATTCAAAGAGAACACCCTAAGTTCCAAACTGGGACCAATTCAGGAACCGGTCTCTTTGGTACATTCAAAGAAGACCCAATTTAAACTCTGTGGGAACACAGAAGAATATAACCCCAAATATAAGCTAGCGTACAATGTGGGGACATGTTCCATTTTCATCTTGCCATATCCCGCCAAATGAGTGGGGCATACCCACTCACTATAGGAAATAATGACGTTCTATTTCAATATTTGTGTATAAATAATCATTTCTCAGTAATTACATGTCATAAAAATATTTCACAATAATCATAAAAAAATCAATTTTTTATCAAAATCGGACCTCAAATTAGTTTTTGACAATGTTTTACAAAATATGTTTTTATATGAAATAATAGGGGAATTCGGGGTAGGTGAAACACCTAATCCTGTTGTGTGTATACTGAAAGGTGGGACTCGAGGGGGCCGGGAGAACGAACTTCTGAAAGTGACAAAAAAACTAGAAGTTAGTCAGTGTCCTCGTTCATTTCCAGCTTTTATTATTTATATATTTTTTGCCAAAAAGTTGGGGACATAGTTTAACCTCTCTAATTTTGAAAGTGGGGGACATTTGCCTCATTGGTGGATCCAAGTGGGGAAAAGGGGGGGGGTTCCGGGTGTTGAAACCCCACTTTTTTCGATTTTTTTTTATTCTATATATATATATATATTTTTTAATTATGTGAACATTTCATGGTGTTCCATGGGTTGGAACCCCCCCTTTTCAAAATGGCTGGGTCCGCGCCTGTGTCTCCCCCAGCTCCTACGCCCATGAGGATAAAATTGTAAGAAAACACAAGGCTCAAGGTGTCCCGCATATTTAAATGACAGACATATCGACGAATGCCATAGTATAACACTAGATCAAGCCAATTCAATTTTTGTTATTCCAAAAGTTAAAAGAGTGTACTCTAAATCTTTTTTTCTTCAATGCTTTTAAAGATTGGACTGTGCTTCTAAATAAAATAAATACATGACCACGACACTTTCATAGCTACAGTTAAACATATGATAAATGTTAATCATTATTTGTCACTGAAATTCAATATGCGGGAAACGGATTTATAAAAGTTTTTCCAATAGATATAAGAAGATGTGGTATGAGTGCCAATGAGACAACTCTCCATCCAAGTCAAAATTTATAAAAGTAAACCAATATAGGTCAAAGTACGGTCTTCAACACGGAGCCTTGGCTCACACCGAACAGCAAGCTATAAAGGGCCCCAAAAATTACTAGTGTAAAACCATTCAAACAAACCAACGGTCTAATCTATATAAAAAACGAGAAACACTTATCAACAAACGACAACTACTGAACATCAGATGTCTGACTTAGGACAGGTGCAAACAACAGCAAACATGTTTCCGAACCCCATATTTGAATTTTATGTAAAATTGTGCTATTTCATTGTTATAGTTTTTCATTATTAAATACTGTTTAAACTAATATATATGCGGTACCTCCTACTAATTATCTAATCTAAGTGATCGTGACATACTTAAAGGACCCCATTGAAAATAAAAGCGGAAACGCTTTCAATGTTTATCCGTGGAAGTATATCATTGTTCTTTAAGTGCATTTTAGCCTTGACGTACATGTTTTACTTCATATATATTTAATCACGCATATTATCAAACTACACTGGTATATACTTGATATCGATTCCTAAATGAATTTTAAAATTGAAAATAGAAACGGGGAATGCGCCAAAAGAGACAACAACCCGACCAAAGAGCAGAAAACAGTCCAAGGCCACCAATGGGACTTCAACACATCGAGAAAATCTCGCATCCGGAGGCAGGCCTCAGCTGGCCCCTAAACAAAAATGTATACTAGTTCAGCGAAAATTGACGTCACACTAAACCCAAAAAACATATAAATGAAGCAAAATAAAAAAAAAACATACAAGACTAACAAAGGCCAGAGGTTCCTGACTTGGGACATGCGTATAGAATATTAATTGGAATAGAAGCAGGTATGTAAGTAGAATGTATAACACGGGGACGATTTTTATTCACCAATTTGGAATTTCCCTGCCAAATGGGATATGTAAAATAAACAGGGACGTCTCCGACCACTATGTCAGCTGCCCTGGACAGCTTAGGGTTTATTTATTCCGGGTGATTTAAAATAAAAGATGTTGTCCATTTAAAAAAAAATATAGATTCTGCATTAAAATTTTTGCACCATTGGGATATCTGGTGAGAAGAAAAAAAGTGTCTACTGTGGCAATTAGGGAGAAATAGTAGTATATATGCCTTTTAGTAAATTTGTTGATATATGTATCAGTGTAACCAGACTTAATAATGGGACTAGAACATTTATGTATTGGTCCAAGTTGAATGTTATTTTGAAACTAAAATCATATGATTACTTTCACTATTTATCAATAAAAATCTATTACATTCTTTGCTTGTTACACTAATTTGACTGCTAATATCCGCTGCACACTGACAACAAAGCTATGGGAAAAATTTTGCACACCATGGTAAAAGCCATTATGCACATACATGAAGAGATGTGACAGTAACACAACGACACAACAGAAACCGTAAGCGGTCACTATACATATGAATAAAAGTAATGTAGATGCATTAGCATGATCATATCATCATAGTAGATATAATAGTAAATACTCATTTTCACTGGGCTAATTATGGATAAAAGAAAAACGATATGTAATAAAGGTAAATGTAAAGCCAATTTTGCGTCAAAAAAGGTCCTCTACTACCTAAGTATCAGGAGCGTCCCTCCCCTAACATCTAATCCTGGATCCGCGCCTGAGCCACAACTCAGTCAAAATGTCACCATCTGGAATAGGACACACACACACATCGTATCGGTCAACCAGTTCGTGATGGTGATGTAACGATCAAAATAAACTTATGCTATGTATACGTTTAGTTTGGTCTTAAACTGGAGCAAACTTACAAAGTAAGAGTCCAAATAAGAGTTCAAAGGCAAACATTCTCCTAGCCAAGCGGTCTTTGGTCTTACTGTTAGATGCTGCGTGTAGCACATACGTATTTGTGAAATGCATGTAAATGGCAGTTACCAGTTCCTTCTTGGGATCGTATTCATATTGATTAGGAAACAAACTTCTGAAAGTGACAAAGTGACAAGCAAAAAAAAAAACCTTCTATAGTCCAATAGCGTAGTCGTTAGTCAGGGTCCTCTATCATTTTCTTCTTATATTTGCAATATATTTTTGGGGGCCAAAAAGTGTGTGGAGGACAAAGCATAATGTCCCCCCCCCCTTTTTTTTTCCGGCGCGTGCGTCCTTTATGTATTTGGAAAATATAGATTCAATGCATAATGAACAATGCAGTTCCGATGTCAAGTTTATTTTTGCCTATTCGACATTTTCCCACGCTGATCAGAAGATTCAAATAGTACTTGTGACACTCTAAAAACGGATGACAAATTAATCTTCAATAAACGTAAATGTCAATAACATATCTTTTTAAAGATTCATAGGAGATGGTTGCGACCTATGACAATTTGAAGTTAGAATTTTTCACTTTTTGCGAAATTTACTTGTATTCTATACATTTGTTATATCGATATTCCGGATATTGAGTTGCAAATATCGGAAACTATAAATGTTACATAAATTGTTTTTCTATAATGCTCAAGTTGCATAAAATTTACAACATTTACGTAACTTTTACCTTAATCATACAGAACGAAAACTAACTTAAACTTTTTTTGTCTCTGAAAAAAAATACCAATATACTTTAATATAACATTAAAGTATATAGGTAATTTTTTTGTTCAGAAACAAGTGCCTGTGGTTCAACGTACTATGAAAAGAACCGGATGAATTTCGGTACAGGTCACTTAAAACCTAAATCATCTATAAATTTTCAACCTTCGTTTTTTTTTTAATTCCTGTATCGTAGCCTATCGCATCTTAAAAAAAAAAAATAATGTTCGTGGTTTTGGGTAAGAATGTTTAGTAAGCGATCCTGGAATTCTTTTGAAATAGTGTACTGAGAAACAATGTCCTGACGTCATAGTAATTAGCTTATATCATTTTGACATGCCCACGTAAAATACTA